CGGCGGGTGCTAGGTCGGCGGGCGCTAGGTCGGCGGGCGCTAGGTCGGCGGGAGCTAGGTCGGCGGGCGCTAGGTCGGCGGGCGCTAGGTCGACGGGCGCTAGGTCGGCGGGTGCTAGGTCGGCGGGTGCTAGGTCGGCGGGTGCTAGGTCGGCGGGTGCCAGGTCGGTGGGTGCCAGGTCGGTGGGTGCTAGGTCGGCGGGTGCCAGGTCGAGGGGTGCTAGGTCGAGGGGTGCTAGGTCGAGGGGTGCTAGGTCGAGGGGTGCTAGGTTGACGGGTGCTAGGTCGGCGGGTGCTAGGTCGGGGGGTGCTAGGTCGGGGGGTGCCTGGTCGGCGGGTGCTAGGTCGGCGGGTGCCAGGTCGGCGGGTGCTAGGTCGGCGGGTGCTAGGTCGGCGGGCGCTAGTTCGAGAGGCGCTAGGTCGGCGGATGCCAGGTCGGCGGGTGCCAGGTCGGCGGGTGCTAGGTCGGCGGGGGCTAGGTCGGTGGGTGCTAGGTCGGCGGGGGCTAGGTCGGCGGGGGCTAGGTCGGCGGGTGCTAGGTCGGCGGGTGCTAGGTCGGCGGGTGCTAGGTCGGCGGGTGCTAGGTCGGTGGGTGCTAGGTCGGCGGGTGGTAGGTCGGCGGGCGCTAGGTCGGCGGGTGGTAGGTCGGCGGGTGCTATATCGGCGGGAGCTAGGTCGGCGGGCGCTAGGTCGGTGGGTGCTAGGTCGGCGGGTGCTAGGTCGGCGGGTGCTAGTTCGAGGGGCGCTAGGTCGGCGGGTGCTAGGTCGGCGGGTGCCAGGTCGGCGGGTGCTAGGTCGGCGGGTGATAGGTCGGCGGGCGCTAGGTCGGCGGGTGCTAGGTCGGCGGGCGCTAGGTCGGCGGGTGCTAGGTCGGCGGGCGCTAGGTCGGCGGGTGCTAGGTCGGCGGGCGCTAGGTCGGCGGGCGCTAGGTCGGCGGGAGCTAGGTCGGCGGGCGCTAGGTCGGCGGGCGCTAGGTCGACGGGCGCTAGGTCGGCGGGAGCTAGGTCGGCGGGTGCTAGGTCGGCGGGAGCTAGGTCGGCGGGTGCCAGGTCGGTGGGTGCTAGGTCGGCGGGTGCCTGGTCGGCGGGTGCTAGGTCGGTGGGTGCTAGGTCGAGGGGTGCTAGGTCGAGGGGTGCTAGGTCGGCGGGCGCTAGGTCGGCGGGAGCTAGGTCGGCGGGTGATAGGTCGGCGGGTGGTAGGTCGGCGGGTGCTAGGTCGGCGGGCGCTAGGTCGGCGGGTGCTAGGTCGGTGGGTGCTAGGTCGGCGGGTGCTAGGTCGGCGGGTGCTAGTTCGAGGGGCGCTAGGTCGGCGGGTGCTAGGTCGGCGGGTGCCAGGTCGGCGGGTGCTAGGTCGGCGGGCGCTAGGTCGGCGGGCGCTAGGTCGGCGGGAGCTAGGTCGGCGGGCGCTAGGTCGGCGGGCGCTAGGTCGACGGGCGCTAGGTCGGCGGGAGCTAGGTCGGCGGGTGCTAGGTCGGCGGGAGCTAGGTCGGCGGGTGCCAGGTCGGTGGGTGCTAGGTCGGCGGGTGCCTGGTCGGCGGGTGCTAGGTCGGTGGGTGCTAGGTCGAGGGGTGCTAGGTCGAGGGGTGCTAGGTCGAGGGGTGCTAGGTTGACGGGTGCTATGTTGACGGGTGCTAGGTCGGGGGGTGCTAGGTCGGCGGGTGCTAGGTCGGGGGGTGCCTGGTCGGCGGGTGCTAGGTCGGCGGGTGCTAGGTCGGCGGGTGCTAGGTCGGCGGGTGCTAGGTCGGCGGGTGCTAGGTCGGGGGGTGCCAGGTCGGCGGGGGCTAGGTCGGCGGGGGCTAGGTCGGCGGGGGCTAGGTCGGCGGGGGCTAGGTCGGCGGGGGCTAGGTCGGCGGGTGCTAGGTCGGCGGGTGCTAGGTCGGCGGGTGCTAGGTCGGCGGGGGCTAGGTCGGCGGGTGCTAGGTCGGCGGGGGCTAGGTCGGCGGGGGCTAGGTCGGCGGGTGCTAGGTCGGCGGGCGCTAGGTCGGCGGGTGCTAGGTCGGCGGGCGCTAGGTCGGCGGGCGCTAGGTCGGCGGGCGCTAGGTCGGCGGGTGCTAGGTTGACGGGTGCTAGGTTGACGGGTGCTAGGTCGGGGGGTGCTAGGTCGGCGGGTGCTAGGTCGGGGGGTGCTAGGTCGGCGGGTGCTAGGTCGGGTGGTGCCTGGTCGGCGGGTGCTAGGTCGGCGGGTGCCAGGTCGGCGGGTGCTAGGTCGGCGGGTGCTAGGTCGGCGGGTGCTAGGTCGGGGGGTGCCAGGTCGGCGGGCGCTAGGTCGGCGGGGGCTAGGTCGGCGGGGGCTAGGTCGGCGGGGGCTAGGTCGGCGGGTGCTAGGTCGGCGGGTGCTAGGTCGGCGGGTGCTAGGTCGGCGGGTGCTAGGTCGGCGGGAGCTAGGTCGGCGGGTGCTAGGTCGGCGGGTGCTAGGTCGGGGGGTGCCAGGTCGGCGGGCGCTAGGTCGGCGGGGGCTAGGTCGGCGGGGGCTAGGTCGGCGGGGGCTAGGTCGGCGGGTGCTAGGTCGGCGGGTGCTAGGTCGGCGGGTGCTAGGTCGGCGGGGGCTAGGTCGGCGGGTGCTAGGTCGGCGGGTGCTAGGTCGGCGGGGGCTAGGTCGGCGGGTGCTAGGTCGGCGGGTGCTAGGTCGGCGGGCGCTAGGTCGGCGGGTGCTAGGTCGGCGGGCGCTAGGTCGGCGGGCGCTAGGTCGGCGGGCGCTAGGTCGGCGGGTGCGGGTGCTAGGTTGGCGGGTGCTAGGTCGGTGGAGGCCTCCCCGTGTGCTTCCCCGTGCAGCGAATTAGCGAGCCTCTTGCTGGGACCTCGGTGCCCTTCCATGTGCAGTCTCTGTCTCCAAATATTATCGGCTGTCCTTACTCGCGCGGCCCTGCCTCTTTGTGCCCTTCTCGGTGCAGCGCCCTTGCGGGCCCTGTGGGCCCACATGTGGCCTCTCTGCCCTTTCCGTGAAGTTCTTGCCTCCAAATGCATTCACTCCTGCACGCACACGTGCCAGCTTGCATGGCGGCAGGTGATTGATGAATAGGACGGGGGGTTACGGTAAGCCGGAAAGCCAACCCCACAACGGGTCAGCAAGAAACAGGCCCCATGAGAACCCATGTACGTACATCCGTTGTCTTGAAAAGCAGCCCTTCTCCATGCCCTTAGCCGCGCGGTGCGTGCCTCCTCCTATTCATCAAGTTGCCCCCGCCTAGCTGTGTAGGATGGTGGTGTGAATGTGCACGCATTGGTGTCGGTACTTGAGCAGGGCGGGGATGCATCGATTGGGAGCGGTCGTAAATGGGCACGGTGGATGTGTGGGTTCGACAACAACGCTGGTGCATGGGTGGGTTCGATGGGGATGCCTGGGTGCAGGTGCTTGGGGAGGGTGGTGGTGCTTGCACGCATGAGCGCCAATTTCCGTCAGTATGAGGAGGATTTCTGCATGCATGAGCACCGGGCGCTTGGGGCTCGGAGCATCCGCCACAGATCCGGAGGGCATGCTGCTCGCATGCTCGTTCATGGCTCAGTGCGAGGACTGCATCGGCGCGCCGGGGCTTCGGGCAGGACATGTGAAAGCATGCATGCGCCGGTAGTTGGACAAGGCGGAGACGGTGCAGGACGGGTGCAACTGCTCCCGTACTTGGGCACGGCGGGACTGCTAGTGGTTTGCATGGCCACAGGTAGTCTGGCAGAGTGGCAGGGTGCACGCGCGGGTGTTTCCATAAGCAACAAAGCTGCGTTACTGTACAGACTATAGCCACTGCGGAAAGATGCCCGGACGGATGGTTGGTATGTGGGCGACTGATGATGACGACTGGAAGATGTGTAGAAGTGCAGTGGAAGTAGGGCCAGTACTCTATACTAACGTACAGGTGCCAGTACCGGTATTTCGGCAGGGCGCGGCACGGCATGCGCGCATACACTTGTACGAGCACCAGTATTCGGGCGGGCAGGGCAGGGTTTCACACCCCACCACCTGTACGCATTGATATACTGCATGTTTCCGCGGCGTCCTCAAGCCCCTTGTGCATCCTAAGCGTTTATTTGCTAGCAGCCTTGGCGACAATCGCTGCCATTCCTTCTGTGATTAAAGCATCCTTCTGCATCCTCACGCCGTACATGCGTGCAACCACATCTTTCTTCTCGACATCACCTCTCGTTCCTACTCTTAGCCCATCCAGCATTCCAACTCCCTCCCGCGAGCTACGGGTAGCTCCCGCCGAAGGCGGGCCTTACTAGTATATACAGCTGTTGCGCTGTCTTGTTGTATGTGCTTTCCTGGTATGCGCTCTTGAGGGCTCCTGTATGGGCTGCCAGATGTAGAAGTGACCCGCGGGTCACCACTGGGCTGTGTCGCCCCTCCGCCATGCATTTCCACATACCGGTGGGTACACTACTGGCAACAACTGGCAACGTTACAGCGAGTCATTAGCGGTGGTGTCACCTGCAGAACACACCTCCATCGCCGCGACACACGTTCCCAATCTTACCGTCTCTGGTTTCGTCTCTTCTGGTTACCGGCGGTATCATTTTCCAAGCGCACAGGCTTTCAACTTCCCAGACTTCAACCGGATTAACAAAACCTTCTCAACCCCCACTACATCCCTCAACCCCACTACCCTGGTAGTAGCATATTACGGCAAGGGCACTTCCGGACATGCATGTCCTGCGCGCCCTCCCGCAACACGCCCCTACTACCGTACCCAAACTACATGCATGGACTACATCAGGCAGGTAACCGAAAGGACTTCTTAGCTCGTTTCATTTCCCAACACACGAACGTCTCAGCAGCAGCAGCGGCAGTGAACCGCTGGCCCGACCAGTGGACCTAAGCCCCCCTTTACGAGTTGACGGGCATGCCGCCGTTGGGGTGCAGCACCTGCGGGGGTGGGGTGGGGTCGGGGGAGTTCCCGGGAGCGGGGTGGTGGTGGTGGTGGTGTGCACACACGCGAGGAGAACGGCACGCATGAGGTCATGGGGCATCCCACCCCCCCGCATCCCTCCCCCGCATCCCTCCCCCTCACCTGGCCGCTGAAGTAGCTGCCGTCGTCGCTAGCCAGGAAGACGTAGCAGGGACCCACCTGGGGTCGGGAGGGGGGGCAGGCAGAGGGGCGTGGGTGGGTGCGGGTGTGGGTGGGTGCGGGGGTGCGCGAGGAGAAAAGAACAAAAGAGGTGCAGGTGGTGAGCAGTAAGTGCAGTCGGGGACAAGGGGGCAGTCCGGGTGGTGGGTGAGCGGGGGGCTTACATGTCGAGCCCGTCAAGAGGACGCGATACCGGTATGTACGCGCGGAGGCTCCTCACGCCCCTTACGTCCTGCTCCTGGCACACTCTTACCCACACCCCTTTACCCTGCACCTCTTTACTCCCGCACTCCCACCGCACTCCTGCACCCCCCCTCCGCCCCTCACAGCAACCCATGCCCACCCCTCACCTCGCTGGGCTGCCCCGCGCGCTGCATGGGCACCTGCTTCTGCCAGGTCAGCATGGCGGTGCGCGGGAAGGAGGCGGGGATGAGGGGAGTCCAGATGGGGCCGGGGGCCACTGCATTGACACGGATGCCTGGGAGCCAGGGGGGGGAGGAGGCGGGTAGGGTGTTGTCGCTAGGCAGCTGGATGCCCACAGTACTGGTGCTCCGCCTGGTATGACCCATGGGTCACCTCACTCTCCTCCCCCCTTCCCTCTCAACCCAGGGTCCCCCCCCCCACATGCACATCTATCTCGCACCCCCCCCTGCCTCACCCTTGCTCGCCAGCTGCTGCGACAGCCCCCGTGTGAAGGCGGTGATGGCGCCCTTGGTGGCGGAGTAATCCAGCAGGTGTGCCTCCCCCGCGTAGGCGGTGACGGAGGTGGTGTTTATGATGCAGCCGCTGGAGTGCAGGGGGAGCACCTTGGAGGCGGCCTGGGGGGGGAGATGGGGGCGGGAGGTGGGGGGAGAGAGGGGGTGTATGAATTACGGGTAGGTAGGGGAGGTGGACATGCGAAGGGTTTCGTGGCGAGGACGGCCGGCAACAACCGCAACATTCTCACCAGCCGTCTCGTCCGCTCGCCGACCTAATAGCAGCTCGCAGCCAACAGCAGCAGTGGCGCCAGCCCCAGCCCCGCTCCCCCTCTTCCCCTCTTCCCCCCACCCCACCATGGCCATGTAGAACATGCCCAGTATGTTGGTCTCGAAGGTGGCCTCGATGTCCTCGTCGGTGAGCTGCGTGATGGAGGTGCGGTAGTTCTGAATGGCCGCGTTGTTTACCTTGGGGGAAAAGAAATTCCAATGGGGGGAGGCGGGGGAGTGGGAAGCGGTGGCGAGTGGGGAAAGGGAGGAGGACAGTGTGCAGGGGGTTCACTGGGGTATTGGAGAGCCGCAAAAGAAAACTTGTACACCAGTAACCCACACCCACCCCACCCGCCCACCCACCCCGCCCCCACCAGGATGTCCAGTTTGCCCAGCTCCCGCACGCACTGCTCCACCGCCTCGCAACACGCCTGCGAGAGGTGAAGGTAGGGGGAGGGCATGGCGATGGGGTGTGCGGGGGTGTGTGCGGGTGTGTGCGCCAGCATGACGCGGCAGTACGATACCGCTGGTGTACCGACTAGTGTCGACAGCAACAATAGCCCACACCCCACCACACCTCCCGCCCCTCCTTAACCACCCCTCGTTCCCACCCACCCTTATAATTTGGCTTCTCTCTCCGCCCCTTACGTCCTGGCTCCACCCCCCCCCACCTTGTGGCCCCTCACCCCCCCCCCCCCCACCTTGTGGCTCCTCACATCCGCCGCCAGCGTCACGCAGCGCCGCCCCTCCGCCTCCACCAGCTGCTTGGTGGCGAGTGCGTCCTCGTGCTCATTCAGGTACAGGATGAACACGTCGGCGCCTGCGGGTGGGGGGGGACGGAGGAGGGGCAAGAGAGGAGGTAGGAAGGAGGGTTAAGAGATGACCCTTTTGAGCATGAGGAAGAGGAACGGACGCGACTGCACTTTGACCCCTCTCCCCCCCCCCACACACACACACACCCTTTCAACCACTCACCCTCCCGCGCAAAGTGCACCGCCACACTCCGCCCGATGCCGCTGTCTCCCCCCGTGATCAGCGCCACCCGCCCCACTAGCTTGTCTGCCCCCACGTAGCTCTCGCGGATGAACTCTGGCTTGGTCCACATCTCCGCCTCGCTACCCGGCTGCATGGACTGTGGTGGTGGAGGGGGGATGGGGATGGGGATGGAGGGGGGATGGGGACAGATAATTGAGCAGTAAAGCAACGGAGTCCCAAGAGGATAGGGATGGGAATGGGATGAAGAGGAGGAGGAAGAGGAGGGGGAAGAGGAGGAGGAGCCGTGCTTGGGTGCTTCTCTGGGTCATCACTCCCCATCAGTTCGGGTGTGCTCCTCGCCACACACTTACAGGGGCGGTACACATGCAGCCCCACCCCGCCGCACGACCAACCCCGGTGCACCCCAACTCTGTCCGCACCACCACCCACCCACGCGCATCAGCACCCACCCACACACCCACGCGCGCACCTGTCCCTCGGGCATGATGGGGATGTTATCCTTCACCGCCTGTGAGCGGCGGGGGGGGGGAGGGGCGCGGGAAGTGCGAGTGCATGTAAGGTAAGGAATTGGGAGTTGCGCGGGCTCCCCACCCAAGTCGCTCCCGCCAAGTCGCAGCCCCGCACAAACATTCCTGAACGGCATGTCCTTCTCTCCCCAAACACACCTGTACGGCATGTCCTGCGCTCTCCATGATATTCGCCGCCTTGGTGCTCGCGGCCTCCTTCATGCTTGACACGGTGTCCTTGACCTGGAGCGGTGGGGGTGGGGGGCGGAGTGGAGGTTAAGGGCGGCGTGTGGTCAGATACTTGGGTAGTGTGTGGCTCTAGAGAGTTCAGGCAGCAAGCGTATCGACATATTTAATATTAAGGGAAAGAGGTTTGGGGGCTTAGGATTTGGAGTGGAGGAATGCAAGTATGGGGAAGGGGTTCTTGCCTGCGGCAGTGACCCATGGGTCGTTGACCCGCACCCACCCACGGCACCCGCCCCACTCATCACTCCCGCCCACCCACCATCTCAGGCAGCAGCTTAACCGTGTTAGCCACCACCCCTTCTGCCGCCTGCACGCACGCATGCGAGCCGGCTCTCTAGGCAGGTGGCGAGACTACTGCTGGGTTCTAGCTGAGGTGATGGACTGTTGCCTATTTAAGCGTCATGCTCTCAAGTATTTAACCACAAAAGCATAACTTCAGAAGCGCTTTCGCTGCTTTCCATAAGCTATGCAAAGTAAAGGGAACGGCTTTGCATGAGATGCCAAGGTGCGCCAGACGCGAGTGTGCACAGTGAAAAAAGAAGCGGCCTCGCTTCTGTATCGCCCACGTATGTTGACAGCAACAGGAACAAGTAAAGGTACCGATACAGGTGTGGTTCCTTAATTTCCCTTTGAGAAAGGGCGCTCTAACCATGACGGAACCCGGCATTTCTCGTTGCTGCCAAAGAAATACAGGATCAGCCCTTGCTGCCGCGGCTAACCAGCTAGCTCCCTGGGCCCAGCCCTCTTATTTACAAACGGGCAGGACAACGGGCCAGAGCGACAACTCAGGGCTTTCCCGGCAAACGTTCCGTCCGACGTGACGGCAACTAATTAGTTATAACTGCGGCCGCTCGCGCTGCGTCACACCTCACCTGCTCCATCTTGATGTGCTGCTCTCTTGCGGTCGCCTGCGCCTCCTGATGTGACCTCCGATGGGATCTTGTTGGCTGGCTTTGTAACCGGTGGCAAGTTCCTGACACACGCGAGAGTCGTCGAAGCAAAACGTTCCGTGACAAGGCCCCGTACGCAAATTCCCTCTTAAAGAAGTGCAGAAGTAATCTCTTCACCAATATACTGACCGACTGACCTTATTACTTGTCTCCTGGCGCGTTACAATGAGTAAGTGACCCTTGGAATGCGTCATCGTTAGTACGGAGGACGGCGACCCCGGGGACGCCTGGCTCATCATAGCTAATGTAAGCTCACTTCTTAATGGAAAAAATCCAACCGAGGATGAAGTTACCGCACCAAAGGGCCCACAAACAGGTGGCGGCGCTGTTTCCGATTCGTGTCATCATTACCCGAGTCAACCAACGGATAGCCTGCCCCAAATCCGTGCAAGCAGCAACGCATGGGAACCAAGTCTACAGACTGTGACAGAATCAAAACATTCGCCCTTCCCTGGTTGGCCTTACAGGCAACTGCCTGGAAATCACTGTACAACAACCTGAAACCGCTGGACGCTAAACGCCCACTGCGCTTTATACAATGCCACCCACACACTAGTGTAGTGATGTGACCCACGGGCCGTTTCCTTCTGAACCAGCCCACATCAATGGAGCACATGACAATGCATGGATTTCAGTTTACGGCCCACATGACAACGCATGGATTTGCGTTTAAGGCTCACATTAGTGCAATGCGCAAACGGGACAAGCAAAGCCATACATTAAAGGGCTGTGTAAGGCCTTCCGCCTACCCGGCACCCTTGGTAAGGATGGTAACGCACCAACCGACCCGTGCCCACGTGTATACAGATTGCACGTCGAGTAGAAACAGTACAACTGGAGCAGTCATTCGTACTGTCAGCGATACACATAACAGCACGTAACGCAGCCTTGCTCACGAGGTCATAGCTGCCCGCTAGATGGAATCCATGGAGCCGAGGCCTGCTGCATGTAAACGCCGGGGAGTGCAAGTAAAGCCTGGAGGAGTGCGGGATCCGCGCATTACCGGAGTACTGGGAAGGCTTCAAACAGGCCACGCAGGCAATTCCCTTACACAAAAGGGCTACGGTATACAGCCTCATGATGAGGGCTGGCTGGCGCGTGCCGGGACCCAGCAGGTGTTCATGGAATGGGTGGCGCTTACCGAGCCAGTCTCAGCTGTCAGGATTTGCGTTTGCAGCCCCCCCATCACCGTATAAAGGTACATGCATCGTGTCACGGTCCCCGTGCTTTCCTTTCACAGGGCGCACAACAAACGCCTTAAATCAGAATGAATGACAAATGAACGACAGCCTTCAGCCGGCTCCATGCATAACCACGTTTGCCCCCCCCTCACGGCATCAGGACGAAGAGTTATTATGTACATTATATGATATAGCGCAGTCCAGTAGACGAGGATCTGTGATGAGGAGTAGTCCCGTGCACCCCACAACCGCACCTTCTGTCACACCTCTCATGCCCAAAGGACGGGCTCGAAACCCGAGTCTGGCTGTTCCTAATGGGGAACTTCTCGGTGCTACCTTCGTGCAGAGCAATTTCAGCCCTATTCTCAAACATCATCGTGCAGTAGCAGCGGCAGTTTCTTGGTCAAGCTCCAGCACGCGGAGGACCAGCATGTCCACCATGAGGTTCAGCTTGAAGTTCTGATAGTTCCACTTCTCCTTCCACTCCTGTGCCGAGCGCTGCTCTGCCGCCAGCTGCGCCTTGATTCGCTCGTAGTCCTGCACCTGGGCTTGCAGCAGCTGCATCCGGTGGTGCATGTCCTTGACCTGCATGTCGTCTGGCTCAGCTGTGCGGTTTGGCGTAGGACTAGTATGCCGGGAGTGCGAGTGAGGCGCAAAGCTGAGCATAGCTTTGAGCTTCGCAGCTGGAGAGGAGGAGACCGGCGGGGGTGGTGGGGCGTTGGGCTCAATCGGGAATGGCTGTTGGCTAGGGCGCTGGTCCATGGGCGACTTGTCGCGACGACCAAAAAGATTTTTGAAGAATCCGCCACCGCCTTCACGACCACGGTGTCCATGGTGGTGGCGACCTGGACTTAGGTTCCCGGCCAACGATGACTCCTGAGATGACCGAACAGACTGCGACCGACGTTCCTCCCGACGCGACCTGGAACACGCAGCTTACTGTTAGATAAGTATATTAAGAAGCAGCGAAAAGAACATTCTGCCCTACCTTCCTGCGCTGCGGGACTGCCTCCGGTCCATCCTGACAGCTCAACTATCCGACCCTTCGGCTATTTCAGAAATAGTCCTTTATGAACAAGATATATTAACCTGTGAGTTTACCGCTATAGGATAGATGTTGTAAGAAGGGAGTATTACTTGTGGCCTGCAGCCTCTTTACGCACAGAATTATTCTGCAAGGAAGTGGGCGTGCCTATATGCAGCGCAAAGGATGTCATTCCAATAAAGGATTGTGGACTGTTTTTAACTGTTGCGCCCATCTTTGACTCGTCGGTCAATCTTCCTCCATGCATGGTCAGCACGTACGAGCTATTTGCTGAGTACGCCAATCTTTTAGAGTGCGTGTGAAGCTGATACAGCTAGGCAAGAAGCTGGACCAATACTTGCTGAGTGGGTAACTTGGGACCCGGAACAGAATCCTTCCACCAGGTTTACAATTTCCAACGAGCACCTGCCTGCCACCACAGTGCCGCAGAGCAGATACACATAACGTCCCAAGAGAAGGCCAGGGTTCTTCGGCTACACCATGTACCTCACACAGCCATCAGGTCGTAACCACGAAGCTAGCCACAAGCAAGCACCCCAACAGCTTTCCTTACCTGGACGTGACCACCACAAAGAGGGTGAGCTGCGAGGCGCAGGAAAGCAGTTGCCCACGGACTACATCAGCCCTTTAGCCATCACATGAAGCGAAGCCCGGTGCAGGAAGCCAGAACACATAACGGCGACGATAGGTGGGTGAGTTGCACGCGTGTCGGAAGCCCAGAAGGCGCAATGAAGGGCAGGTGCAGCAGTCGCGGTGAGGCACAGCAATCCACAGAAGCCAACGAAGCAGACGCGGCAGAGGCGCGGGGACGGTAACAGACGAGGAGGACAGGAGTGGACCCCTTTAGAAGCAGACATGCAGGAAATTCCTGTGGACAGAAGGGCCGCAGGTGCATGCACTGCTCAGTAAAAGCAGGGGAAGAAGTAAACGCCTTCATTAAGAAGTCATCTTCCCAACCCCGACCTGACAACTGCTATCCTTAGCATGAGCCAAACCATTCATGCAACAAGGCAGACAAGGGCCAAACGTCCCGTGCAAACGTTCCCCTGTGTTATCAGTGAATGTCACCGCCGAGGTTCCAGAAACCCCGAAAACACGTCGAGTACCCGAAACTCAGTCCCACAAACGCCCTAAAGGAGACCCACAGAGCCATTACTACGAACGCCGAAGTCAAACTGCCAACATGCAGACATTGTATACGCACGCTGCCAACATCGAAACAGCAACAACCCCTAGACGCCATGTGCCCCATGTCGCGTCCTGCAGGAGCCCGATGTCTTAATCGCGGTCACGGCTCCGGCTGCGGTCGCGCTCGCGGCCGCCCTCGCGGCCGCCCTCGTCCCGGCGCCTCGGCGGGCTGCAAACGGGAGCGCAAACGACATGATTGGGACAGGTTAGGAAGCAGAACTCTAGGGCTAAGATTGAAACCGGAGAACTTCCAACCAGCAAGAAAATTGGCATGGGAGGTAAGGAATGAGCCGCATAGTGTACTGGAACACTTCAACTAAACACCGCGACAGCCCTTGTTAAGGAAGAGGCTAGGGAGCCTGAATCCCGAACGCACCTGGGAGACCGCCGGCGCTCGTACGCAGGGCTCCGGCTGCGCCGCACGGGGCTGCAAGAGCAGAATCACCGGGACGTGCATGGTTAGATGGATAAGTAGGTAGCTGACAACGGCCTAGAACCCCCCTAGCTAGCAGACCCCGCACAACCGGCGGCTTTGCAACTTCTACAGGTAGCAGGCGTTCCCGAAACATGATGGTCAAGCCCCTTACCTGCGGCTGCGGCTCCTGCCGCGGGGAGGCGGCATGCCGCCACGGGGGCCCATGCCACCACCGCCACCACCGCCGCGCATGCTCCGGCAATCGCGCGCAATGTGGCCGACCTCGCCGCACTCGTAGCAGCGAAGCTCACGTCCCATGGGGCCACCCATGCCGCCGCGAGGGGGAGGGCCACGGTCAGCACGGCGGCTGAACTCAACTCGCCATCCTTGGAACCCTGTGGTCGGGGACTGAGGTTGTAACTACAGATCCCAAGCCTTAAGACAGAGCCAAAAATCGCTAAGCACGACCTAAGGTCTTGCGGTGTTGCTTCAGTAACCCATGCTCGTCGGTGCTTACCGTCCAGCTTGCGAACAGCGTCAGAAGCGTCCCGGTCATCCTCCATTTCAAGGAAAGCGAAACCTAAAGGCAGGAGGCGCAACAGTCGTGGCCAGAAAGTCAATGGTCTATGAAGAAACCTCAACAAGGCTGTTCCAGGGCTTAAAGGTTATAATGATGCGCAACAGTGCAAAAAGTGAGATCATAACTACAGTACGGGTCTAGCTTGGTTGCGTAGCGTTTAGGTAACTTGGCCGCCATCCACCAGCAGCAAGGACAAAGCAAGCGGCAGAGGGAAAGCTATGTACATAAGTTAAATTAACATAAACTACAAACCAGTTGCCCTAGTCTACGAGGAGCAACGACTCAGACAGTGAAAAGCGGGCATGCCGGCCCAGCACCTTCAAATTACCTGGTGGTTTCCGAGCTACCCAGATGGTCCTCACACGGCCAAACCGTTCAAACTGCGGGGAGTGGACCGGTGGTCAACGCAGGCGGGGGTGGCTGCAACCAGTTGGGATGCGCACTTCCTCCTTACTTCATCACGCACGTCCCGCTCAGCAATGTCAGCCGGCAAGTTTCCGACATAGATCCTTGACCCCATGGCTGCGGTAAGGAGCCGCTGGCAGTGACACCGTAAAGTTAACCGGGTTCAGTGATAAGCTGTAGAATAGGCAAAGCTACTATATTTATATTCAAATGGAACGCGTCTGAGTTGTTTCCAGAGTCGAATGAACATGTTGCTACGCTGCTGCGATGTTACATGTGCCAGGTTCCGACGTACACGGGTGGAACCAGGCAACCAGCTTCACCAGATCACCTACTGTGAAGACAGTGCTATGTTTGTTTCAATTACAAGACTTTAGACGCTGTTGCTTGCTTGCGCAATGGCACTGCGTTGCCAACCGCTCGCCGAGGAAGAGGAGCTCGCTTCCGATTGCTCGCCTAGCAACATTCTTCCGAGACTGGTGTTTTCAGGCTGTCCTAAATGATCCAAGCCAAATTGTTTGGACAGCTTCTAGACAGCAGCCTATCTCTCCAACCTTTGGCCTTGGGATGCCGACTTACCATGTGCAAGCTCAGCCCACTGATCATCGCAAATAATGGGCATCCACCCTGGCCAAGATATAATTCTGATTACGAGAGCAAGGTAACTCTCATGGCTTCCCAAGCATCCGGTTATGGCCGGTAGGGCCCCTCCCCCACGATGCCAGGTCCACGTGTAGCCGATGAGAGTCTGGAAGCACCTGTCTAGAGCGTGCTAGCTCGTCACTAAGACGCCTCGGTGCATAGCCCCCATACAGGCTTTCCATAAACCTCAACGTTACCCATGCGCACGCGCGCGAGGGCCCAGAGCCCATCAGAGCCCACCGTCACAGAATACACGTAGCAGCCATATCCCAGGTCTTTCAGCGTTCGTTCCTTCCCCGTCGTTCTGTGAACCAACCGCTCTCTGCACCGCCCCTCCCCGACCGCCCTGCCAGCACACCCCGCCCCACCCCGACCGCCCTGCCAGCACACCCCGCCCCAACCCCACAGCACAGCCGCCCTCTCCGCCCCAGCGTCCAGACTGCCTGAGGATTCCAAGTTCCTCGGTTTCTCGGTAACATCCATGACGGCATGCGCGATAGCTTCTTACATTTGTGTGATGCGTTCAGCCACACCGTAGACGAAATACACCGGTAACGACATGGTAACTATCGGTGTTGCCATGACCCATGAGTTGTGTGCTGAGTAGGCCGTACTGTTGCTGGTAGCAGTCGGTGCCGCGACGGATGGGTAGCACCCCAGGTCAGGTCAGCATTGAGCCGTCTGCGCTGAATACTGCAGCAGACTCGCTCCTCACGCTATTGGCAGCGCACTGCAGCAGCTGCAACAGCCAACAAACCCTGTCCGTGAAAGTGTGAAGCCCATGCATGGCCTGTTGCCTATGTGTTGCCTTTCCGCCGTATCTATACTACCTTTGCGCTCACGAGCCTGTAAAAGCTAATTTCCATTAGCAATATGTACAGCATAAATCCCATTCAGCAAGTCAGAAAACCCACAACAATAATTCGGTAGCATTCCTAGTACCGTACACCTGAGGCTGGTCCTGAGCCACCAGACAATCAATCCCAAACGCCAGCAAAAAGAAGCCCTACACACGGGCACGAAGCGGCGCCGCACAAAAGCACCGACTCCGCCTGCCCCATAACCCCACACATAATCATCTTTGCAGTACATGCGATGCCCCCGCGGCAATATGCACAGCTCACGTGCCCAACGCACATGCATAAAAGCACTAACAGTACCACCACCGGGCCATAACCGCAAACCGCCCTCATGCGGGCATCTAAAAGCGCCATTACGGCACACGACAAGGCGTCCACAGCTGGATGCAACCCTTTACCGACGACTGCCAAAATCGTCCCAAGGCAGGCGTTTGTGTTTGACAACCCCACGACGGAAGTCCCTTCACGTGATACATCTGCTGGCTGCAGCAGGTAATGGCCGGGCGGCCTCGTTAAAAGCGAAGCTGCTGTAAGACTCCCCCACATCTGGATTCGCCGCCGCCCACCCAATACACGTTGGAATCCCCACTACAATTCGGTTGCAGTGCCGGGTCGTGACGACAGCGGAGGCAGCTTTGGCGGAACCGGCGGTATCCCCGACAGCACGCCACTGCCGCCGCCCCCTGCTGCCGCCACCGCCGCCAGCAAAGCTCCTGAATCCGAGTGTCGTCGGCTGCTGCTCGGCCGTAACCCCGGGTTCGGTTCCGGTTGTCGCCCGCTGCCGGGCCGGCTGGTGTTGCTAGCCGGGCGACTCCGGGGTATCCCACTGCCTGTGGCGGCAGCAGCACCGCTACCGCCGGCCGCTGCTGTGGCGGCGGCGCGCTGGATGTGGCCCGGAATGGCATGCACGCCAGGTAGGGATTCTATGCTGTCGTACAAGTCATGTGAAACCTCCCGTACCACGTCCTCTAGCACACTGCCCGACATGCTGGGCGGCCGGCTGTGGTCATGGTTCGCCACCAGGGAGCCCGTATCCGTGAGGTTGCGAGTACGACCAGCGCTGCCGCCGCGGCCGCCGATGCCGCCGATGCCGCCGCCGCCAGGCACGCTGACGCTGCTGCCGCCGCCAACGCCGCCGCCGGCGGCTTGCGCTGCTGCGGCGGCGGTGCTTTCATGGTAGTCCGTTAGGATGCTCTGGAAACCTGCGCCGCCGCTGCTGACGACGGAGCCGCCGCCGCCGCCGCCGTTACTCCTCCTTTGGCTGCGGAAGGAGGGTGCCGCGGTGGCGGTTGCGGGTGACGTCACCTGATCCACCGCGGAAGCCCCTGAGGAGGTGGCCCCGGCGGTAGTCCCGCTGGCGGTCGGAGGGCTGCCGCCGGAGGTCGCCGCCGCCGCCACCGCCGCCATGGCCGCTGGCAGGTACGCTGCGACATTGGGTCCAATCATTCCCACCAGAATCGGAACGCTGCTGCACTTGGTGGGCGACTTGGGGCCGCCGCTGGCGCTGACTCCTCCGCCACCGCTGCTGCCGCCGCCGCCGCCAGCTCCGCTGGGGCTGACGACGCTAATGGAGCGGTGTAGCGATGGGTTCTCTGCGGGGGAGCCCACAGGGGAGGAGACCTGCGAGTGCCCTGCCAGGGCTGCGCGCACGTCGTAGTGGGGGGGCAGCGGCGAGGGCGCAGCGCTGTTGCTGTTGGGACGAGCACCGCTGGGGGTGGTCGCCGGAGGCGCCGCCAGGACGGGATGGCTGGCGGCGGCGACAGCGGCGTGGGAGGCGACCAGCGGCGGCGGGGGCAGCGGTACTGGCGTGGGAGAGAGCGACTGGGAGGGTGTCTGTGTTAGCGGTGGGGGTGGCGGTGAGGATGAGGAGGTGGAGGAGTTGTTGGAGGTCGCGACGCCGCCGCTGGCTTCGAGCGCTGCTAGCACAGCGTGGAGTAGCTGAAAGAGTTGGAGTTCGGTAACGTTGGCGCCGTCGGTTCGAAGCTGCTTGGAAAGGATGGTGGGCAAGCTGAGGCGGAAGGCCTGCGGTGGACGAAACGGTAAAAGGATAGGGGACAAGAAGCGGTTTGGTTAGTGGTCTGATCCAAACCAGAACATCCGCCCGCTTTCTAGTGTTGTCAAGTTACGCCCAAGACGCAGGGAGCCAGCATGCATCACCTCTTTAGTCTTTACCTAGTTTTGTTGTTCCGTTCACAAAATGATTCGGGCCATGGAAATGTGGCTCGAGTGCTTTACTCCTACTTTTCCATCAACCGGCCACCCACCCACCCACCCCCCCGCCCCCACCCACCAGTGCCACGTGTTTGGCCTTCCTGAACAGTCCCGCCAGCTCGCCCCGGGAGGAGGCCAGCATGGCGCCCGGGGAGGCTCCTCCGTTGGTGTTGGCGGTCATGCGGTTGACCTCCTTGCTCAGCTCCGTCAGCTTGAGCCGGGTGGTGCTGAGCTGGCGCTGGGTGTCCTCGATGCGCTCCCTGGGGGGCGCAAAGGTCGTTAGGAGGTTAGGGTTAGGGTTAAGAGTTGTAGTCTTGTACACACAAGGACAGGAGGACTTAACAAACGCACGCCCTACACTCCCGCACATTCCAACTCCCGGTCAGTTTCGTTTACTCAACACCCACGCTTTCCCTCCCTCCCTCCTTCTGCCTCACTTGTAAGCCAGCGACTGGCTCCTGTGCAGCTCCTCGATCTCCGCCGTCTGCATGCCCGCCGCCCGCAGCGCCGCCTCCAGCTTGCCCACCAGCCCCGTCTGCTTGGCCAGACTGCCCTGCAGCACCTCCATCTGCCCCGCCATCTCCTTGATCAGCGCCTGCATGCGGCTGTTGCGCGCGGCCAGGTCGGCCAGGCTGGACTCCTGGGAGGATAGCGAGGAGCGCAGGCTGGCGACCTGCAGGGGGGTAGTGGGGCGTGGGGGTGGACCGGTTTACGGTAGACCAGTGTGAGACGTCCTGCTGTAGCAAGGCTACAGTACAAGAGACCCACTTTGGGTCTTTTTTAGGACCCTTCTCACACATAGCATTGTACTAAGCTGGTCTATGTCCCATATATACCGGTACCCGCATTATTTACCTCCTGGTCTCTATCCGCCAGCGCGTCACTGAGCTGCGCCAGCCGCCCCTCCGCGGTACCCAGCCGGCCTGCAAGCTCCGACCCACGGGTCGTCGCCGCCGCCAGCTCGGAGGCCAGTTCTGACCCGCGGGTCGTTGCTGCCGCCAGCTGCGCACTGAGCTCCTCCACTCGCGCCTGGGATTGGTCGAGTGAGGAGCGCAGGGAGGCCAGGGAGGGCGCGGCGGCCGCCAGCTGCTCTAGGGAGGAGGCCAGCTGGGATGCCTGGGGGAACAGCAGCAGCAGCAGGAGGAGGGGGCACAAGGGAGCGCAGGGGAGCAAAAGGAAATAGGGTGCGACGATGTGGGGGAATGGTGAGATATGGGACAGCCGTGCAGGACACACTCCCACACAAGCATACCGTACTGTGCTTTTACCCCGTTCTACGTGCACTCCCCCCCCCCCCGGCTACTCGGCTTACCGTATCCGCCAACTCCGCGCTCCTCGCCTCCAGCTCGCCTCTCAGCCCCTCCGCCTCCCTCCTCGCCGCCGCCAGCTCGCCCTCCCGCCGCCCCACCAGCTCACGCGCCACCGCCGCCTCCCCCGCCGCGGCATCCCGCTCCGCCGTTACCCCCTCCAACCGCTCCGTCAACTCCCGCATGCGCCCATGCAGCTCCGCTATCGCGGTGTCGTGCTGAGCCAGCGCCGCCACCTGCGCCTCACACGATGCCTCCACCGCCGCCACACGCGTCTGCAGCTCCGCCGCCCTCGTCGCCGCCGCCTCCAGCCGACCCCGCAGCTCCCCGCATTCCCCACGAGAAACATCCAACTCGCCGCCCAGCCGAGCCGCCTCCGCCGCAGCCTCCGCAGTGGCAGCACGTGCGGCCGCCGCAGCCTCCGCCTCCACTTCCGCAGAGGCTCGTGCTTCCGCTAGCTCCGCCGCCGCCCGAGTCGCCGCCGCGGCTGCACCCTCCCGTACCTCCGCTAGCTCTGCCGTCAGCGCTGCGAACTCACCACGCGTTTCCTCCAATTCCCGACTCCGACGGTTGAGCTCCTGAGTCGCCGCCGCCAGCGACGCCTGAGCATCCGCAAGTGCCGCCGACGCCGCCGCCACCTCTCGGCGACCCGCTTCCAGCTGCCGCTGCAGCTCCGCCGCTTTGGCCTCGGACCCCGCACGTTGCGCCGCGAGTTCTGATTCCAGCTCGGAAACCCTGGAGCGGGCTTCATTAGCCCGCGCCTCCTCCGCCGCTGCCCGTGCCGTCGCCTGCTCGACCTGCTCCCCCAGTGCACTGCAACGCCCCTGGAGCTCTGACAGCGCGGCTGCATGCTCCGCTTCCTTGGCGTCGCTGGCGCTTTGGGCCTGCTCCGCAGCACGAGCGGCGGCCTGCCGCTCCGCCGCCGTCGCCTCCGCCAGCGCCTCGAGCTCCCGTACACGCGCCTCCGCCTCCGCCAGCTTCGCGGCGATGGCTGCGGCGGCCGCAGCGGCGGCGGCGGCGTCACTGGCCGCTTTCTCTGCAGCGGCGACGGCAGCTGCGGCATCAGGGTCAGGCTTCAGCGCACCCTGCGGCTCAGCTGCAGCAGCACTGCTTTGCGCCGTAGCATTAATGCTACCGCCGCCGCCGCCTTCTGCCGCAACCGTTGCCACCGCCACAGGCGACGTCACCCCGGACGCTTCACCCACCGCGCCAGATGCCTCCGCCAACGTCGCCTCCACTACGGCAACTCGTTTCCGCAACTCCTCCGCCTGAGCCTCCGCCGCAGCCGCGCGCTCCTCCGCCGCCTCCGCCCGCTGCTGCAACTCCCCACCCGGCGGCGCCGCCGTTGACGGTTCCGCCATGCTGCTGACGGCGCCGCCGCTGGGCTCGGCGCTGGCTGCCTCGGAGGCGGCGGCTGCCGCTGCCGCTGCTGCCGCCGCCGCTGCTACGTCGCGCATGGCCAGCTCCTTCATGAGGGCCGCCACGCGCGCATTCGCCTCCTCCACGTGCTTGTTCTTGCTGTGCAGCTGGCGCTGCGGCGGCCAATGGTTCAAGGGAATGAAGAGCATAACTGAAACCTAAGATGCCGTCTATTTGCTCCATGACATTTTCTCGGACTAACAAACGAAATCGGGGGCAGTGCTGCTGCTCCTGCCAAGTCAAGAAGCCCATGCACCCATGCAGACCGCTCCCGCTTTGAACCCCTCACCCCTCACACCTTGAGTTTGTCGATGTGCGACTTCAGTTCCGCCATGTCATCAGCCGAGGGCGCCCTGGACAGCTTCTCCACAATCACCCGCTGGGCCTCCCCGAGCTGCTGCTTCAGAGACTCCACCTCCTGGATCGGTGTGTGCATGAGTGCGTTAACAGACAGGGGACAAGACGTCATGGGGGATGGCCACTGTGCCCTAAACATGGGTCGGACGAGGTTGATGGCCTCGGAGTTCAACCAAAGCTCAAGAGTTCGTTCCTGGTCCGAGGCCAGGAGGAGGTCACCGTTAAGCCTTACCTTGTTTGCCGCAACCAACTGTTGTTTTATTCCCTCCGCCTCCTTCTGTTTCGCCGCCACCGCTTGCTCCTTCTCCTCCCTCAGCTTTGTGGCCAGGTCCTGCAACGTGACCAAGTGCTGCTCCGTCGCCGCACTCAACGCACCGCCTCCACCTCCAGCCGCACCACGCTGCTCGCGCTCGCGCTCACGATCACGCAGCGGAGTGCCCACGTCGCCTCCGCCTCCGCCGCCGTCACCCCCGCCGCCTCCTCCGCCGCCGCCAGCGCCACGCACGGGGCTGTGGATGTGGTGGCTCACCGCACGCGCCATCTCCCGGGATCCCGTCCGCTCCTCCCGTCCCGCACCGCCGCTGCTGTTCCGCCAGCCCTGACGGCTGCCGCCGCCGCCGCCATGGCCGCCGTCACCTCCGCCGCCGCCGCTAACCGCCGCCGCCAGCTCCGCCAACCGCCTCTCAACCTCCCGCTTGGCGGCAATGCTGGTGTCATGCTTGCCCTTTTCCTCCGCAAGCTCCTGCTGCAGATACATCACACGCTCCTTAAAGTCAGAAAGCTGTACGGAAAGCAGCCGTACTTCCTCCTGAAGCAGCGCCTGTGCTGCCGCTGCCGCCTTCTGCTGGTGAAACTGCTGCGAAGGCAGCCCACCGACCGGCACCGTCGCTGCTCCGGCAGCGGCCGCAGCGGTTGACGTGGCCGCTGCTGCTGCTGCGGACGGGGCTGCCCCTGCGGCCGAAGAGGGGCCATGCGCTACCACGGAGCCCGCGCGTGCAACCACAGCGGGAGACATGGGTGGGGTTGCTACCGGCGGGCCGGTGGGCGCGGGGATCCCGCCGCCTCCGCTGCCCGTGGGGGGCGTATGCGAGGAGGTGTGGGTCTTAGCGGAGCTGCAGCGCGCCACCGCGGCTGCGGCAGCAACCACAGCTGCAGCGCTGCCGGTGCTGTTGCTCGTCCGCGCCAGGGCCGCTGCGCCGTCGCCGCCGCTACCGCCACCGCCGTCGGACGGCATGGCTACTGAAACGGAAGCCGCCATGGATTTACTGCGCGGCGTTAGGGAAGGCACCAGCACCGGGACTGCTGCCTCAGAGGGCGCCGCTGCGCCCTCCTCATCCTGCGACTCCTCGATCGCGCACAGCGCTTGGGCGACGAGCAGGTTGGTTAGCGCCGGCGTGGGCTCAGCTACCGGGCCGTTGGGCGGTGTTGCACCCAGCGTGTCGCTCCGAGGGGAGGAAGGGCCCGGGTCATCCGCGGTGGTTGTGAGCACCATGTCGGTCCCGCTGGTGTTGTTCAGGCCGCCTAGCTCTCCGGCTGCGACGCTGCGGCCGTGAGTGGATGCTGCAGCGGTGGTGCTGAAGACGGGGTGCCCCAGCGGTGTGCTGGCGGCAGCGGCGGCAGCTGCCGCTGCCTCGGCTGCTGCCGCGCGCACGTGGCTGAGTCCCTGCGCGTTGTCAAGCCATTGCCGACAGCGCAGCTCGTTGTGCTCACGCTTGAGGCGCTGGAACTCGGTGTTTGTTTTTGACAGCTCCTGGCGCATGCGTGTGGGTGGGGCGGTTCGGTGCTTGGCGTTGTATGAGGGCAGGGCAAAGACACAGGCACGCCAACTGCAACATCGCCGTGGCGTCCAAGCGGGAGCGAGACACTGTTCCGCACTATCGAGATGCCATTTTAGCATTTACTATGTGGATGGCTGAACTGAACTCGTAACCCAAGCGAACGCAACAGCAGGACTGCCGCGAACATGGCAGTTAGATAGACCAGCATCTCGCACCTGCTGCAGCTCTGCATTTTCCCGCTTTAGATCCTGGCACACGGTTGCTGCGTCCTCCTTCTCCTTCTCCAGCTTGAGCACCAAGGTCTGGGCAGCAGAGATAGGGCGATAAAGGGCAGCAAGACAACTTTACAAGGTCTTCCGAATAAAAAAGGTCTTCTGAAGCGACAGTGGGACAGTAGTCCTCCATACGGAGATCATAGATCGTGTCGCCCCCGTCTCTATCTATTTACCACCCAACATTTACAGTTCTAAGAAGCTCGTCAGCCCACCCTTAAGTGAATAAGCTGGAACGCCCGGTCCTCTGATTCCTGCTCCAGCTTATTAATGGTCTGAAGAAGGCCCTGCGGTTTGCGGCCCGCCTGCGGAGGCCCTGGCTGCTTGTAAGCTGTCGGTGGGGCTGGTATATGCCCAACTCCCATAGCCAGGTTCCCGCGCTTGGCGGGACCCTTCCGTGGAGGCTTAAATGGGTCCATCCTAAATGCTGAACTTGTTAAAGACAGCGAACGGTCTCGAGGCAGGGCTCGAGGGTCCGGGGACTCGAAGACGAGTCCCCACTGCCCCCTACACTATTCCCATCCTAGTTAGTTAACTGGGTACATAAGAGAGAATTTTAGAATATCGATAGCGATTGCTTAGGCTCAATAGGTTTTGCAGGTCTGGAAAGGCCGCGGGAATGCAACATTTCAGTGTACAGGAACACTAATGCAGTGGTAACTACCCCGGTTTGCTACGTAGTATGTCTGCCTCGTCTTGGAAGAGGATTATTCACATTGTCGTACAGTCTTCTTCCTAATGACAAGCAATAATGGCAAACAAGGAGTTTCCCCTGAAGCTGGTGCAAATATTTGCCCGATGTGAGGCATTGGTGTCGTCACTGGGTAAAGTCTGGCTTTCACGAAGGAGGGAGGTAGCTCCATTCCTACATGCAGATGGTCAGTCTGCGTGGTACACGCTGCCAGCCCTAAGGGGACAGCAAAGTCGGAAAGCAGGTAAGCAGGGCTGCTCACCAATGTTTTCGGGCGGAAAGAGGCCCCCTATCTTAAGAGACCCAAGGGCCCTTACTACGGACTAGCCGAAGGGGCTGCGTGGTGTTCAAGTCTGGTGGCATCACCCACTCATCATTCGCACGACAGTGCTGGCAACGACGGCCGAATGCGCCAAAGCTACCAAGCGGGCCAAGCAACTTACAGCCATGGCGAGGCGCCGCAAACCACCGCCGGTGGAATACCGCACGTCCCCGTTTTGCCCCCAAAGCCAGCAGGGCGCCCGCTAATATATCCCAAGCCACTACTGCTACGCAGCTGCCGGTTGCAACAGCAGCCAGACCAGGGCTCCACACGTCATCCAAGCCAAGGGTACCGACAAAAACTCGTCGTGTCCGGAAAAATCCTTGCGCCGGTTGCCGTGTTCGAAAAACGAGCTGACTGGTCGTAGCCAGCTTAGGCATCTCTTCCGTGCCCCATTCACACGGCCTCCATTCATTCCCACCATCCATCGCAAGAAGAAGAGGCGCCGTGGCCACTTGCTATGGCATGGGCCGATGCGCCTGTTGCAATCCCGATCCGTCATACCTGCTCTCCTGAAAAGCAACCCCCCTCGTCTAACTTCCTAAATCGACCCCCCACACGGGCCATTCGTTTTCAGTCTACAAAGCTAGGCTAGCGGCCATTTCCGAAGTGTCTGTAGCCCCAGTCCTTAATCCCGCTAGCGTCCGAGTCCCATCGGCCAACCACAAAACGACCCAAAAGGGTCCGCCGGCACTTAGGGAAACACTGTAGGCCGGGCCCCAGGCCGTGCACAACTACCAGCATGCGCCGGACCTCACCCTCCGCAAGCAGAACGGTAACAAAACACGAACAACATGCGCCCTCATGCATGGGGGCCAGTCGCTGCTGCCTGCATCCTCCGCATTCCCCAGACAGACCTCGAGCCAGAAGCCAACGTTCCAGCCAACATCTCAAGTCCAGCAGTGCAGCCAAGCGGACGGTCCCCTCAGAAGCTACACCCGTTCCCGTTCCCGCAGACTAGAAGCTGATAAGCTAATCTGACATGACACAAGCTACCTACGTGCCAAGGCCGTGTTAACAACCACCCCCCGCCGAGCTCTCACCTGCCGCCTGCTGCCCGCGTTTCGCGGCGGCGAATGCAGCGTCAGCAACACGCCCATGCCCAGGCTGCTCTGTCGCCCGCCCCTGGTATGTACCTCGCAGGACCCCTTGTATGTACGGATGTACCTCGCAGCGACCACCAACACGACGGCTGTTTCCTGCATGCATGCTTACCCGAGCTCCCAGCTGCCTTTTCGTCATGGGTAATAACTCCCCGCTGCTTCAAACACTACCTGTGGCAGCCCCTTCACCGAGCGACCAACACCAATCCCGGTTCTGAAACGCCGCCTTCGACGACGACATCACGCCCCAGCGGCATCCCAGCGGTGCTACGTCAGCACCGTTATCTTGTACGTCGGCGGGAAGCTCTGCCGTACAACCGCCGCCGCCAGGTTCAACAAGTCCATGGCAGAGGCGGGCCGCCCGGCTGCTGCTGCGGCGGCTCCCGCCATGCCCGCCCCCCCGAGCCCCATGGCCGCTGCCGGCAGCGAGCGGTCCATGACAAACCCCGAGTGCAGGTGCAGGTGCCGGTCCCGGTCACGACGCCACTCCATGACGCCACCGCCCATGACGGTGGGTGTTTCCATGGGCACCGCGTGCTTCTGGGAGAGCGACAGGATCTGCACAACAGCAACGACGGGGGGCAACCGGTGAGGCATGAGAGGTGGAGTAGAGGCGTAGCTGGCGGAGACCGGGAGCGTGGGGACGCTGTCTCTTCACCTTCCCAAGGTATTCCCTTGACCTCCCACCCCACCCCACCGCCTCACCTCCCGGTTGCACTCCTCCACCAGCTGCCCCTCGCTGCAGTAGTTGTGGCCGCGGATGAGGATGCGCTGCCGCTCGCTGCCCGCCGCGCGGCCGCTACGGTCCTGCAGCTTGAGCATGAGGAAGCGGAAGGAGCCCCACTCGTCGATCTGCACGACGGGGATGAGGTGGCCCACCCAGGGCGGACCCTGCGCCAGCGACTCCTGAACCCTGCGGAACGCCATGCGGTAACGCGAGAACTCAGGAGTGCACCGCAAGTGCGTGCTACCGAGGCAGCGTGAATGCAGCTACCACCCTGTCACCACATGTTACGAAGTCCCAAAGCTACCCCAGCCCCCTCACCTCCTGTCCGCCTGCAGCTCGCACTCCAGCTGCTGCTGCAGCGCCACAACCGCCCGCCGGTTCAACGACGCCACCTCCCGACTCGCCGCCAGCAGCTCCCCACTGCCCTGCCTCCCCAGGATCCGAGGACCCGACGTGAAGCTCCCGCTGCCACTGCAAGCACCCAGCGGCCACTCCCCGCCCAGCGTACTCGGCCCCCCGCCCAACGTGCCGCCCAACAGGCTCTGCACCAGCAAACTCCCCTCCGTGGAGGCTCCCGCACCCGGCCCTCCGCGGCCCCGGTTGTGCGCTCCGCGGCCGGCATGCGCGCCGATCTGCACGGAGACGCTGGTGGTGGTGGTGGCGCCGGTTGCGTTGAGGTAGGCCAGCGCCTCGTCCATCTGGTCGGTGGTGAGCGAGCCGGCGCGCTCGGGTTCCGTACGTGCCTGCTCCGCCTGCCAGCGGCGTGTGAAGCGCCAGCGCCAAGCGGCCTCCTGGATGAGCGCCTCGGTGTCTTGAGGCGGGGGCTGCTGCTGCTGGGAGGGTTGCTGAGCAGCAGTGGGAGCAGCTCCTTGTTGTTGCTGCTGATGGTGGTTGTGGTTGTGGTGATGGTGGTTGACAGCGGTTGAGTGCGAGGCGGAGGAGTCCTCCGGGGCCTGCAGGTAGCCCCCACTCCGCAGCAGCGCCTCCTGACCCGGCCGCCTGCGACCCTGCTCCGCCAGATCAGCTAGCGCGGTGCCACTGCAGCCGTTCCCCACGCAGCCCCCTCCTCCTCCGGTGTAACCGCAGGCCACACCGTTTGGGGTAACCTGGCCGTCCATGTGGCTGCTGCGGTCCTGGCTGGGCATGGACGCATTGAAGAGGATGGGGCTGGCGCTGGGGTCCCGGCCCGCGGCGCTGCTGCCGCTGCCGCCCGTGACGCACTCCCCACTGCCGCTACCGCATGCGCTGCTGCTGTTCTGGCCCGGCCCATGTGGCGGCCGCAACAGCATGGCCGCCCCGCGGCCAACACTCGCAACCGGCGAGCGGGCAGCAATGGAGGAGGATCGCTCCGAGGCGCCTGACCCACTTGCCAGGCCGTTATCCCCGCGCTCCGGAACCGAATCCAGCAGCCGGTACTGCCGATCCGCCCACGTGCCCAGCTGAGGTACGATGTCCGTACCTTGTGTCGTACAGCCAGAGGCCCCCGCGCCGGCTGCGGGGTATTCCAAGAGTGCTGGCTGTGCGGGTGCAGCTGCGGGGACCGGCTCCGAGCCGTCCAGGGCTGGCGGCAGCGCGTTATCGCTTACGTCTACGTTGTCGGCGCGTCTGGGCACTGGTACGGCCTTTGGAGGAGAGGATCCCTTGGGAGCCAAGGCTGTAAAGGGAGGCACAGGAGCTGGAGCTGCCGCTGCTCCGTACAACACAGGCGTGTCAGGAATGCCATCCATTTGGGTCGGCGGTTCGAATGATGGAGGCTCAGGGACGCGCCGTGGTCGGGTTAAGAACGCGGGAAAGCAGGACTGTGAAGAAGATGATGCGGTGGAAGCGACTGCGCGAGGAGCAGAGACGCCAGCGGCGGCATGAGGCGCCAATGCCTCCGTGAGTCCCGCCTCATAGCTTCTGCTGAAGCGCAACGCACCCCATGCACAGTCACAGCAGTTACATGGGCCAAACCTGTGGATGGGATTGCAGTTGGCCTGGTCAGTCACGTGCATGGCGTGATTTTTCGGCCCAAGGCTGTAGGGTACAAAGCCGCTAAAAAGCACGCGCCAGAAACTTAGGATATATAAGTAGGTATCATACATGCAAGGTGTAACTTCTCACCAATTCCTTTCAAACAGCGACTCGACTACCTCCCAGTTGGCCTCTGCAAGCTCAGAGGCCACCGGAGAGCTGCGGGCTTGGATGAGAGCGCTCGGCGAGATACTTTCAAAACTGTCTTTTATGGCTGCTGATCGCCCGTAGTAGCTGCCTGCCGCTGGCCCATTCACCCATGTGGCTGGGTCCATCCGTCCGCACGGCTGCCTGTCTGCTATCGTTCACCTGCGTCCGCCTTGTGCCCAGCACTTGTCCATGACCCTGGCCCGCGGGCCCCGTGGTCCATGTCACGAGACACTAAGTGCCCAGCTTCCTCACGCAGTCAACGAGACATTTATGGGTCAGGAGCTCAGGAGGGATAAGTAGATGATATTGTATACTAGATGAACTTCGCTTACCCCTTGCCGATCCGTGCTTACTCTCTGACCTACGAGCCTGCGACTGGCCATTTTCCTAATCGTGACGCGATTCGTACTTTCCTTGCTTTGCATCATCAAGTGTACCAAGAACCTCGTATTCACGTTTTTACCCTATGCCTAAGTGCTAGCAACAACGATATACCATTAGCAACGTCGCTTAAACGCCGCCTAGCCGCCGAAGAATTAACAAAGTCTGGGATCTAGCAGCCGTTTGCGTATCATAAGCGAATAATCAAATAAAGTTCTTAACTTTAATGATAATTAGGAAGGTGATAGTAACGTTTCCTCTCGGCTTTTCCCCAGTGAATTGCAACACGTAAATAGAGCTAGTAGTGTTGATTAGGCTTGCTGCCTTACGTGTCTTCGTAAGCCTTACGTGCACAGCGCCATCCCTTTTTCCACGGTTAGCCCAACACTTTAGCAACATCCAATTGCACGGACAGCAGTGGTTCCCTTACCCTTTCAAGCACCGCGACTGACGTCGCTGTCGCCGCCCATCGGGGCGGCGCCGGCGGGCAGGACGCCATGACGGTAGCAGCGGATGGCAAGAGCATTCAATCCCCGGCCTCCGGGAAGGCTGTGGATGCTATGGACGTGGACAGCAGCCCCAAGGGTGGCCTTAAAGGCATGGACGGATTGGAAGCCATGGCAGGGGACGAGGCGCTTACGGAAGCCTTGTACGGCGACCCAACTCGGCTAACGGAGCCAATTAAAACGGTCCAGGATAAGTTCGCGCTGCTACCAGCCTTCCTAAAGGTAAGCAGCTGTGTCACTTGTCATGTTGTTGACATGCATGCCAGTCGGGACAGCTCCAGTCGAGGGTGGCGGTGCTGGTGTGAGCTGTACAGTCCTAGCGGTCAAACCAAGCCACAGGCGGGAGAGCAGGCGGGGCTCCAGGGGAAGCAGCCAGCTGCCGCCTGCTGCGACCTGGCATCCGGGGCTCCTGCTTGACCAGAGCACCAGACCGGACCGGGTCGCGGGCATGCGCCTGCCTGCACCTGCCGCACCTGCTCTCAGCACTCCTCCTCACCCATACTCCAAACCCTTGGCGCATCTCCAACCCAGATCGACGGCCGGCACGCCTTGCCCAGCCAACCTGTATGCCTCTTACCCGCCGCCTGCCTGCCCTGCCGAACCCCCCTCCCCTCCCCCCAACCCATTGGTTATTCCCCCCCAGGTCCGCGGTCTTGTGAAGCAGCACCTGGACTCGTTCAACTTCCTGCTCAACTCGGAGCTGCGCAAGATCGTGGCGGCCAACGAGAAGGTCACCTGCGACACCGACCCCAACTTCTACCTCAAGTGAGGGGGGCAGGGGGGGTGAGGGGGGCAGGGTAGCAGGGGCAGGGGGGGCGAGTGGGTCAGTGTCCAGAAGGGCAGGGGCCGCATGAGTACGGCCGGCTTGCTCACCTCCCCCCCCTTCGTTTCACTCGCTCGCACCCACTCACCTGCTGCTGCTGTTCCCCCTGCCACTCCTCCCTCTACCACCCCGTACCCCCGCAGGTACACCAACATCTACGTGGACGGTCCCAGTGTGGATGAGGACATGGTGCAGGTGGGTGGGAGGAAGGAGGTGTAAAGATGAGGGGGGTGCGTGGCAGTGGGTAATGGGCGGCTTGCGAGGAAGCGCCCGACCTAGCGAGGCCGGTGAGGGCTTGCAGAGGCAGGGCGCAGGGGGCAAAGAGGAGGCGACTAACAAACCGTGTGATAAGGCGGAGGGGGCGGGCGGAGTGCGGTGATTCACGGCACTCCTTCTGCGCATGGGCCCCTTTGCTGCGCTAGCTCACCTGCTACGGGTGTTTTTTGGGTTGGGACGGCTCCTCCTAGGGTTGTAGCTTCCCTCCTAGCGTGCACGCAAGGCCATCCCTGCCCCCGTCTCCCCTCCCTCCCTCCCCTCCCTTCCCCATGCGGATCATGTCTCCCTATTAAACCATCCCCTCCCCCCCCTCCCTCCCCCTCCCTCCCCCTCCCCAGGTGGGCACCACCCCCCAGCAGTGCCGCCTGCGTGACGCCACCTACTCCGCCCCCATCACGGTGGACATCGAGTACACACGCGGCAAGGAGATCGTGGTGAAGCGAGGGCGGGGCGGGGTGGGCGCGGTGTGCATCGGCCGCATGCCGCTCATGCTGCGATGCGACAGGTGAGGGGGGAGGGGGAGGGGGCGAGGGCTAGGTGAGGGGGGGGGTGGCGAGGGCTAGGTGGGGGGGGGGCGTGTGCCATACCGTGTGGGGTTGGACGAGCAGCGGTGTGGAAGGTAGGGCGGGGGACGGCATGGGGTTTGGGTCGCCACTGATCCGCAGAGAGCTGAGAACCTTACCTCACCCCTCACCCCCGTCACCCCCCCAACCCCCCACCCCCCCAGATGTGTGCTGTACAACAAGAACGAGGCGCAGCTGGCGCAGCTGGGGGAGTGTCCACTGGACCCGGGCGGCTACTTCATCGTGAGGGGCACGGAGAAGGTGGGGGGCGGGAGGAGGAGGGGGCGGGAGAGGCAGGGGGTCGTGTGTGGGTTTCCCCTTTCTTTTCCCCCTCTCCATGTGTGTCATCTGGTTTGCCATTCTCATGCAACACATTGAGCCTTCTCCTCTTCCCCTGCCCTCCCCGCCCCCAGGTCATCCTGATCCAGGAGCAGCTGAGCAAGAACCGCATCATCATCGACACCGACAGCCACGGAGAGGTGATGGCATCCGTCACCTCCTCCACGCACGAACGCAAGTCCAAAACCAACATCGTGTTCAGCAAGGGCAAGATCTACCTGAAGCACAACGCGTTCCAGTGAGTGGGGGGCGGCGTTTCGCGTTCTCCTCTTTCGCCTCTGGAGCTGCAGCAGCGGCAGCTGCCCGTCCCCTCTCTGCTCCGCGTGTGCTTTGTTCTTCCAATTCCCTAGTAGTAACACCAGCTCTCCATCCTACCCCCCCCCCCCCCAAATCAGGGACGATGTGAACATCCTGGTCGTGCTGAAGGCCATGGGCTGCGAGAGCGACCAGGAGGCGGTGCAGGCGGTGGTGGGGGGCGGCTTCGGACCGCACAGGGGGGGGAAGGGGGGCGAGGCGGGCGGGCCGGCGGCGGATGCGGCCAGCGGGGAGGGGGCGGCGGCGCTGGCGGCTCTGCTGGTGCCCAGTGTTCAGGTGGGGAGGGGTGCGGTGGGGTGGGGTGACATGGGGTTTGGGGGGGATTAGATGATACCTGCGTACCTGAGTGTAGGAATGTTGACCCTAACCTTAGTATACCGGAGGACATGGGACAGGGGGGGCGGGGGCTGTTCTCCATGCATTGAGGCAGCAAGGTATATGTGCGTCATGGTGGCTTGCGACGGTTATGGTTGCCAGCTCTAGGGTTTGTATGTAGCGGGGCTGTAGCCCTACACCGGTTTTCATCATATACCGACCCACGGGTCACTCCCCCCCTCCCTCCCCCTCCTAAACAGGAGGCCAAGAGCCTGGGCGTGTTCACTCAGCAGCAGGCGCTGGACTACCTGGGCGGGAAGCTGAAGGCGTCCCCCAAGTTCGGTGCGGCGGGTCCTGAGAAGCGGCGCAAGAGCAAGGTGGACGAGGCGCGGGACGTGCTGGCGCACGTGGTGCTGTGCCACGTGCCGGTGCCCAAGTGAGGAGGGGGAGGGGGAGGGGGGAGCAGGGGGGGGGGGGAGGGAGCAGGGGGGGGAGGGGGGAGTTGGGGGGGATGTATTGAAACCTGGGTGTCTGTAAACCTGGGGAGGGGTAATAGAGCTGGGGAAGCGGTGTGCGCTCTCCATGAAGCTCTGGTCTGTAAGAGCCGCGTGACGCCTGCGGATTCGCGCGAGGTGTTGCAGGCGGCGGGTCGCGCATTCCTCGCGTCTCCTTGCGGCAATCCACACCGCCAACCGCCCCCACCTCCCCATTGCCCTTGCCCTAACCTATGGTTTCTTATGATTTGCGTGATCTTCGACCCCTCCCCCCCTAATTTCAAACCTCGGTCCATCTAACCTCCCCCTCCCCCCAAACCCAGGTACAACTTCTGCCACAAGGTCGCCTACATCGCGGTTATGATGCGGCGCATGCTGTACGCGGTGCTGGACCCCGCGTGCATCGATGACAGGGACTACTACGGCAACAAGAGGCTGGAGCTGGCGGGTAAGGGGGGGAGGGGGGTAACATACGTAGGGTGAGGTAGATGGGGGAGAAGCCTTATCCAATTGTGCCTCGGCTCGTCACAGTATCGGATCGTCACGTACCCCTCCCCCTCCCACCTCCCACCCCCCAGGCGGCCTGCTGTCTCTGCTGTTCGAGGACCTGTTCAAGCGGCTCAACTCCGACCTGAAGCGCCAGGCGGACGCGGTGCTGTCCAAGGCCAACCGCGCCACGCAGTTCGACGTGGCCAAGGCCATCCGCACCGACACCATCACCTACGGACTGGAGTCGGCGCTGTCCAGTGGGAACTGGATCATTCGGCGGTTCAGGATGGAGAGGAAGGGGGTTACGCAGGTAGGGGGGTTGGGGGGGGTCAAAGACCATACCAAACCATATGAGACCACAAGTTTGGGGCGGGGGGGTGGGGAAAGAGATGAAGAGTGAAGGGGGGAAGTGACTTGGCGCCGCCCTACGTGACTCCCTCCTCGTCTCCACGCTTCCTCCTTTCCCCTCCTCTTTCTCCATGCCCTCTTAACTACCCTCTCCTCCCTCCCCCCCTTCCCCCCGCCCGCAGGTCCTCAGCCGGCTGAGTTTCATCGCGGCGATGGGCATGATGACGCGCATGACATCGCAGTTCGAGAAGACGAGAAAGGTGCGGGGGAGGGGGGTAATTTGGAAACAGAATCCGCATTAGGCTAGATAGTTGGGATAGCATATAATTGCAGTTGTTGTATAGTTAGTAGCATCAATCAATAACAAACCGTATTATTTAGGGTTGGGGGGGGGCTGGCGGGGGGAGGGGTGGGTGGGTACGGGCTGGGGAAGGGTGGCTCGCAGTGCCTGCGGAGGGCTTGCGGGTGCGGGCTTGCGGGTGTACGGTGTGTCCCACCTCCCTTAGCGGCGACGACAAGCATTGACCTAATCTAGTGACGACCCTTCCTCTAACGTTGACCCCAACCCCAACCCCAACCCCAACCCATGGTGAAGACCTCGCCATACAGCTCGTCAGGTTCCTCCTCACCCGCACTCCCCCTCCCTTCCCTCCCCTCCCCCCCGCTCCACGCACACCACACCACACCAGACCACACCACACTTTGGAATTTCCTTTTTCCCCGCTCCCCGCAGGTCAGCGGCCCCCGCGCGCTGCACCCCAGCCAGTGGGGCATGCTGTGCCCCGCCGACACCCCCGAGGGTGAGAGCTGCGGTCTGGTCAAGAACCTGGCGCTCATGACGCACGTGACGACGGACGAGGAGGAGGGGCCGCTGAGCGCGCTGCTGGTGATGCTGGGCACGGAGCCGCTGACCAGCATGGCGCCCGCAGAGCTGCACGGACACGGCGGGGCGCTGGTGTTCCTGAATGGAAACCTGGTGGGGGCGCACAGGCGGCCGCATGGGCTGGTGCGGGAGGTCAGGTGAGGGGGGGGGAGTACATGAGAAGTGCGGGGGGGGGGGTTCAAAGACAAGGGGATAGAAGGCGGCAGGGTGCCACGATATAGAGTTATAGAGATATAGAGTAGAGGGGGTTTGCCGCAACGGGCTACGGTGGGAATGCATGCGTTGGGCCAGCTGTGGCCAGCTGTGATGCAAACCGAAGAGGGCGCCGGAAGCAGCTGGATGCACCCCCATTTCCCCCATCTCCCCCCACCTTTAGGGAGCTCCGGCGCGCGGGTCTGCTGGGCGAGTTCGTGCACGTGCACCTGCAGGGGGACGCGTGCTACGTGAGCGCGGACGGGGGGCGCGTGTGCCGGCCGCTCATCATCTGCGACGCGGGGGTGCCGCGAGTGCGGCAGGAGCACATCAGCAAGCTGAGGAGCGGTGAGGGGGGGAGGGGGGGCTGGGGTGGGGGGAGGGGTGGGAGGGGGGGGCGGTGCATGGGCTGTTTGGGTGTTCCTTTTTGTGTATGTACATGTGTGCTGTCTTGCGTGTGCGCGTGCACATGCGCTCATGTATGCGTTTAAGGAGTGTTTCCGGGGTCCCAAGCGCGCATATGCTTGTGTGTATGTTTGTTATTTGCGCGCATGTGGAGCGGCTCACGGGTGCGACACAACGCGGACATGGCCTGACACGCTCGCCGCCCCTGCCCCTCCCCTCTCCCTGCTCCTCTCCCCCTTTCCCCCCCAACACAAACATTATATATTCTTCCCCCCGCCGCCTTCCCCGCCTTCCCCCCTTCTCCCCCCCATCCAGGCGAGTGGTGCTTCAACGACTTCCTGCGCCGGGGGCTGGTGGAGTACCTGGATGTGAATGAGGAGAACGTGTCGCTCATCGCGCTGTACGAGAAGGACTGCAACAAGTAAGAGGGGGGGAGGGAGGGGAGGAGGGGGGGATGGAGCATGGTGAAGGGGATGGAAGATATGGGCCCCCGGCGGCACCCCAGACGTGGGAGCCGTACATGGACCTCCTCCTGTGTTCTGTGCTGCTCAGCTTGGACTCCTCGGCTTGGAGCAAGCTCTGCCTTCCCGGCCTTCAATCATGCTCTCATCCCTCTTCAACCTCCCCCCCCATCCCTCCGCTCCCCCTCTCCCCTCCCCCCCAGGCTGACCACGCACCTGGAGATCGAGCCCTTCACCATCATGGGGGTGGTCTCCGGCCTCATCCCCTTCCCGCACCACAACCAGTCGCCCCGCAACACCTACCAGTGCGCCATGGGCAAGCAGGCCATGGGCAACATCGCCTACAACCAGCTCAACCGGCTGGACACGCTGCTGTACCTGCTGGTCTACCCGCAGGTGGGTGTGACGGGGGGGAAAATTATATATGAAATGCAAACAACTAAAGTCCCAATCCCATGTCCCGGGAAGGGGGGAGGGGAGGGTTGGGGATTACAATGAGGAAACTAACAAGCTGTGTGTGCTGTGCGGGAGGGGGGGAGGGGGGGGAGGGGGGGAGGGGGGGAGGCAAAGGTGGGGTTTCCTATGGTTTGGTATGGTCTTTGGCCCCCCGCCACCCACATTGTCTAGTCTGCCCCTTTGCGAATGAACCTCCCCTCCTGACGTGCAGCTCCATTCGGTTGGGTTCGACCCTCTCCTCCCCCTCCCCTCCACTCCCCCTCCCCTCCCGCCCCCTCCCCCCCAGCGCCCGCTGCTGACCACCCGCACCATCGAGCTGATCGGGTTCGACAAGCTGGGCGCGGGCCAGAACGCGAGTGTGGCTGTCATGAGCTACAGCGGGTACGACATCGAGGACGCTATCGTGATGAACAAGTACTCGCTGGACCGGGGGTTCGGGCGCTGCATCGTGCTCAAGAAGTACGGCGTCAGCCTCAGGAAGTGAGTGGGGCAGGGGGGGGGGGTCAGGGAGGGTGAGGGAGGGGATGGCTGGCCCTGACGTCTCTGAAACAAATGTTGTGCGCTATCGTTGGTGTAGCCTCCTGCGCTATCTATGCTCTTTATGTTCAACTATACATGCCGCCTCAGTAAATACCCCTCCTCCACCTTCATGCGCTTATCATTTATTCCCCCTCCCTCCTCCCCGCCCCCTCCCCCCTCCTGCAGGTACGCCAACCGCTCCTCCGACCGCATCGTGGCTCCCCTCCCGCTGCCCGGTCAGAAGGCCGTGGCGCCCCGCTTCCGGCTGCTGGACCGCGACGGTATCGCCAGCGTGGGCGACTACATCCTGCCGGGTGACGTGTACATCAACATGCAGCGACCCTCCAACACGCGGGACCCGCTGCCGGCTGCGAACATGCCCGACTCGTTCTACAGGTAATAAGGGGGGTGGAGGGGGGAGGCTGCATGGGGGGCGATGCGTGGGGGTGCATTGTGCGAGAATGTGGTGGCTCCCTTCGGACACACGGAAGGTGAGCACGGTATGGGCATTGCTCTCCTCTTCACGCACTCCTCGTCAGCCTCCACCCCTTCCCAACAACTCCTTGTCAAACCACCCCTCCCCCCCCAGGCCCAGCCCCATGTCCTGGAAGAGCACTCCCGCCATGGCTGGGGAGCGGTGTGTGGTGGACAAGGTGCAGCTGACCGCCAATGATGAGAGCCACTACTCCATCAAGGTGGGTGGAGAGGGGAGAGGGAGGGGGGGACAGCTAGGGCTGATTCCCATCTGGGGGTCATTGGTTGTGACTGCTCGTAGCACTATCTCAATATGGCTGTTATTACGTTAAACGACCCCACGTATGTGCCAATCCCACCTCTCCCTCTCCCTCACCCCACCTTCCTCTCCCCCCTCTCCCCCCCCCACCCCCCAGGTTCTCATCCGTCACACCCGCCGCCCCGAGCTGGGTGACAAGTTCAGCAGTCGCCACGGCCAAAAGGGGGTGGTGGGCAACATCGTGCGGCAGGAGGACTTCCCCTTCAGCGAGCGGGGTGTGTGCCCCGACCTCATCATGAACCCGCACGGCTTCCCCTCGCGCATGACGGTAGGGGTGGGGGCGGAGCGGGGGGGCTTGGGGTGGCGGATAGATCGCCTGCAGCCGTGCTTTGCTGGGGGTCTAGGAGGTCGCTCAGCTGCTGCTGTGCATCTCCTGCTCCTAAACCTCACTCCCTACCTCATTCCCCCATTCGTGGTTTCCTATGGTTAGGTCTTTCCTAACCCCCGCTCCGATTCTTCCCCCGCTCCCCCCCCCTCAGGTGGGCAAGATGATCGAGCTGCTGGGCAGCAAGGCCGCCGTGTCCTCGGGTCGCTTCCACTACGGTACCGCATTCGGCGAGCCCTCCAACCTGGCGGATAAGGTGGAGGACATCAGCGCCACGCTGGTGCGACACGGCTTCAGCTACAGCGGCAAGGACTTCCTGACCAGCGGCATCACGGGTGGGGTGGGGGGTGGGGGGTGGGCACTGTTTGTAGCGTTGTGCTATACTCCTTGCTTTGCCCTAACACATGGCTTCCCGCGGGTTGGTCTATCTCCTTGATTCCGCCCATCCCTTCATTGTTTTGCCCTAATTTTTGGTTTCTGTGGTTCGGTCTCTCCCTCTCTTTACCCCCCTCTCCCCCCCCAGGCGAGCCCCTGGAGGCCTACATCTTCATGGGCCCCGTCTACTACCAGAAGCTGAAGCACATGGTACTCGACAAGATGCACGCGCGCGCCCGTGGCCCACGGGTCGTCCTGACGCGGCAGCCCACCGAGGGGCGCTCGCGCGACGGCGGGTTGCGGCTGGGTGAGATGGAGCGCGACTGCCTGATCGCGTACGGCGCGAGCATGCTGCTGCTGGAGCGACTGATGATCAGCAGTGACCAGTTCGAGGTGGGGACTGGGGGGCAGGGTGGGGGCTGGGAGGGGGCAGGGTGGGGAGGGTGGGGAGAGTGGGGAGGAGTGCGGGGAGGGAGAGGGAGAGGAGAACGCCAGTAGTTGCAACTCTTATCGCACGCGTTTGTGCAACGCAACTGCTTGTAGCCCGGGCTGCCACCCCTAACCTCACCTGAACCCCACTCCGTCCGAACCCCATCACTGCATCCGCCCTTCCCCCTCCTTCCCCCCCCTCCTGCAGGTCCATGTGGACGCCCGCAGCGGGTTGCTCGGCTGGTGGGACGCGGCCCGCAACTGCCCGGTGTCCCCCCTGGACAAGAGCAGCGAGCACATGGCGCCCATCAAGATCCCCTACGCCTGCAAGCTGCTGTTCCAGGAGCTGCAGGCCATGAACATCATCCCGCGGCTCAAGCTGGCGGACCTGTAGGGGGGTGGGGTTTGGGGGGGAGGGGCTTGTAGGAGGGGAGAGGGAGATGATGAGGTAGGAGGAGGAGGAGGGAAAGGGGGATACCAAGAGTGCATTCGCGCTGTAGGCTGTACCTAGGAGGTGAGGAGGGAGGGAGCAGGAAGCGTATGAAGAACGGGGTGCGGATGTGGGAAGCTGAAGGATGTGAGTAGGGGCTATCACAGTAGAGGGGGCATCGTAGGAGTAAGACGCTATGGATGGCTAGGTGGAGAGGTGACCGGAGCCAGGAGGAGGGGGAGCAGAGGAGGGGTTGTGTGTGCGAGGAAGGCCGGGAGGCAGGGCCGACGAATTAGTAGGGGTATGGCCCGTATGCCTCTTTATGGGTGGGCTTGCAGGTATGGAGTATGGAGTGCGTCTTGCAGGTAGGATCGGGATTGCGGCTGGTAGAGGTACTACGTTAGGCAAAAGCGGGCTTTGTGTGGGCTGCGGCAACGGGGGGGCATATTGAGTGTGGCTGAGCCACAGCGCGAGCATGAGAGCACTGGCTTTTCGGGCGCATTGCGTGTAGACGGACAAGTTGGCTTGCGATCTTAATAAGGTAGCACGGTGCCGATGTGGATTGCGTCTGCCGCTGCCCGCTGCAGCAGCCCGCCCGCGGCTTGGGTAGTGTGGAGCTGCTGCTGCTCTCTATGGAGGTTGGAAGCAAGGTGGGGCGAACCACAGCGCTGATGCGCGGCTTCAGCTGAGAACGAGGTGTTGAGGTTTGACAACAGCGATGGCGGAGGGATAGCGATGACAAGCTGCTGGGTGTGAAGGCAGTGAAGGCAGTGAACGTTCACGGCCGTGTCGGCTCGCCAGCTACGATATGTTTGTTGGACGCAGCGGGGAGAACCCAAAGTGGCTGGAAGCTGGAAGAAGGCAGAGGGGCTGCAAGCTGTGGTGCTTTACGCGTCTTCTGCGTGCTCGCGATGGATTGCGCCGCGCACATTGACCGGTGTTTGGGTAAGCCTGTTTCCATGCATGGGCGAGCTCCGTTTGTAACCTTCAGCCCTTCAGACTTACATGATCAGTAGGCCCAACGGACAAGCGTTGGGAGCTAGCATGCCTGTCAGCTGACCCACTGTGAATGTATCCTGGGTGCTGCTCTATGAACACCCGAACTGGGAGCCGAAGCACTACACGACAGCACTTGATTGCATGGGGTCGCGAGGGACAGCGATAGCGGTGCATGGCCCGATTTGAGCTGAATCGCTGTCGTAGAGGAGGAAGATGCATGCAACAGCATCTTGTTTGCATGTATCGTATAGCGGCGTCTTCTTCTTCGCCCCACGCATGTGTCCCATGCGCGTCGTAGACAGCCATACACTACATGGGTCCGACGAGGTGTTAGGCCGCCTTCGCACGTTCCATCCCACAGCACTTCGGACTGCCGTATTCCCACTCGGAAGGTGATAGGTACCACTTTGGCAGCGTGGCAAAGCTTCAACAACCCGCAAGACGACGTTCTCTCGCTTACGCGCTTAGTCTAGGGGCTTTAAGTTTCAATCTGGACAAATTTTGACCCGTGGGTCACAATACACGATTGACTTGCACGCATACTGCGGCCTTCGCAACGACCAGGACATCTTAACCTAATTAGCACATTCCAATAATTTAAGGCTTTGTTGAGGAAAGCAGCGACAGGAGGGTGGTTATGCTAGCTGGCGTTGGCGCCGGCGGCGCGGGGGCCGGCGCCGCAGGGGCCGCAGGCGGTGCTGCTGGTGGTGGTGGAGGTGGGGGCAGGAGGGGTCGCAGTGTAAGCAGTCGACTTCAGGGTTTCGCTTCTATGCTACGCCGCCGGGGTGGCGGAGGAGGAGGCGGGGGCGGCATGGGCGAGAGTGGCGACGACTCAACACCTCGAAGGTGAGACCTGGATCCCTTCCGCAGATCAATTGCAAACAAGCTAACTCTCCTTTGCTGGGCAAAGCCCACATGTAATAAGAGGAGTCAGGGAGAAAGCAAAGCATGTCGGGTCCACACCTGTCAATCGGTGTTGATGGGTGACGCTGATGCAACAGCCATCAAAACACGCCAGTCGCCAGCAGGTACACGTTTCATCACACGTCCATCTCTCACGCCTACACACACCTGTACGTTCCTACTCAATCGCAGCCCGTTTTCATAACACACCAGCGCACAATAAAGCGGGCAACCTATATATGCCGGTACTCTGCCTCCTCGCACAGCTTGACAACTATAAGTAAAACACACCGCCTCAGCCAACTAACTCAAACCAGCTACCTTGCCTCCTTAGCCACACTCGGGCAGCGAATGTAGCCCACCCCAGAGCTAGAGAGCGGCCGTGTCGTGTCTGGTGGCCCAGTTCCAATCTACATCGGTTCCTTTGTGCAGCAGAGCCGCTCGCCCCAACCATCGCCAGCCAACTCTGCGCCCTACACGCCACACAACCTAGCCCAACCCTCCCAGCCAAACCTTCCCTGGGGCCCATGGGCCTCTTTGGCTTCCTGTCAAATCGACGACGTTCCTCCTCCCAAAGACCGCAAGACGAATCCGATGACGAGTCCTCCAAACCCATCTCCTGGCCCCGATCCTCCCTCTCCCTCCCCTCAACCCCGCTCTCCATCGCACCCACCGCCCTAACCTCCCACGGCTCCCAATTCCTGGGCTCCATTTGTGGTGCTGGCAGCGACCGCTCCTCCGTTTACAGCGGAACCGGCTCAGCAGCGGGCGGCTATGCGGGCGGCGGCAGCGCGGCGGCGGCTGCGGGTACCGGCTCCCTGCGACCGCCCGCGGTGTCGCTCATGCACATCCAGATGTCCCCGGTGAGTGAGGAGGCCCCGTGGTAGCCTGGCAGCGGTGGCGTCTGATGGCCGGGGTGCAGTCAGCCTCCTTCCCGTAAATGCATGCTGGGTTAGTTGCCATTGCCCTTGCCCACTATATACCCGTTGCTGTTGTAAGCTATTCCTGTTTTGCGGCCGTACCTTACCGTGCTCCTGCATGATGCATGATGCATGATGCATGATGCATGGTGCATCCCAGCACTTCGTGCATGCGCGCCTGGTAAACCGCCGCCGCCGCCGCCAACATCCCCCAACCTACTTGATAAAACAGGAGGGCATGGTGGGCTCGCTGCGCCGCATGGGAGCTGGCGGCTCCGGCGGCTCCGGCGGCAGCTCCGGCAACCTGAGCTACACGCACCACCACCTCCACCACAGCCACCACCTAACCCACGAGCAGCAGCAGCAGCAGCAGCAGTGGCTGCAGCCCTCCACCTCGCAGCAGGCAGCAGCAGCAGCATCGGAGGCAGCAGCGGCAGCTTCAGCGACCAGTGAGGGTTATGGGGAGGGCGGGCTGGAGGGAGGCGGCGGGCTGCTGCAGGCGCCGGTGGGGGTGGCTGTGGACTTCAGTGGCTTCGCTTACATCGCGGACACCGGCCACTGCAGGCGAGTAGGGCAGCTGCATGGGTGCTGCAGGATGCAATTTGCAGGTTGCAACACACGCTTACCATGCATATATATCATATGTCTGCAAAGATTGCCCTGCCTGCATTACTTGCTCATGTGTGTGTACTACAATGTTGCACCTGGGCATGTGAGCAACATGGCATGCCTCTCGCTGGCGCTGCTGCTGCTGCTGCCCTATCCTGCCCCTCTTCCTCCCCCCCCTCACCCCCCCCCTTCTCGTACAGGGTGTTGCGTGTGCGGCTAGACACGGGCGAGGCGGTGGTGCTGGCGGGCGGGGGCGGCTACGGCCACCGGGACGGCCCCGGGCGCAAGGCCAAGTTCTCCTCGCCGCTCTACCTGGCCATAGACCACCGGGATGGAAGGTGGGGGTGGAGGGTGGGGTGCTGGGTGGGGGTTGGTAGAGGACTGGTAGAAGGCGCTTGGGGAGGCTGGTAGGGGCGATCGAGTTGGTGTATGCACCCTGCCCGTGCCGCCACCTATCCTCTTTGCCGTGCCCTAATCAATTGTGGTTTGGCATTTCTGTAACCCTCACGACACCCCCTACCTTCCCCCGTTCGCCCCTTTCCTCCTCCTCCTCCTCCTCCTCCGCAACCTCGCCACAGCCTGGTGGTGTCGGACCAGCATTGCCTGCGGCGAGTGGCCAGCGACGGATTCGTGACAACCATCGCAGGTACGGCAGCGGGTCCAGAGGCGCCCTTGCCTCTGTTGTAGCAGGGCTGGTTACATGCAGTTTTGTCGTAACGCAAGCAGAATGCCTGGGTGAGGCAGGTTCAGGACACCAGCAGAATGCGACGGACATTGCCAGCGGATGTCGTGAATAGCTAAAAGCCAAAAGCTTGTTGTTTGTTGCTTCTATGGTTCTCATCCCCATCCCCACCCAACTCCGACGAGCAGGCAGCAACTCCCCCGGCCACGCGGACGGACCCGCGGGTCAGTCACGCTTCTACAACCTGCGCGGCGTGGCGGTGGACGGCGACGGTAACGTGTATGTGGCGGACTCATCCAACCACTGCGTGAGGCTGCTGACGGCGGCGGACAACATGGTCTCCACGTTCGTGGGTGGGTGCTGGGGGTGTGTGGGGGTGTGTGGGGGTGTGTGGGGGTGTGGGGGTGTGTGGGTGTGTGGGGGTGTGGGGGTGTGGGTGCTGGGGGTGTGTGGGGGTGTGTGGGGGTGTGGGGGATAGATGGGTGTGGTAGGCGGTTGGTTTCGTCAAGTCAGTGCTCTCTTGTCCTGACGTCTTTATGATTCGCCTTTCTTGACCACATGTCGTTGTTAGCCTCACCTGCATGTAACCATTCATCCGGCACACGTCACGAGTGAGGCTTGTCCTCGTTCCGCCCCCATGTTCCCCCGCCCGCCCGCCCCTGCAGGCTCCCCCGGCAATGCGGGGTTCCGTGACGGGGCGGGCGCAGACGCTCGCTTCCGCAACCCCTGCGGCGTCGCCATAAACCTGCAGGCAGGTCCCTTCCCCCCTCCTGTGTCTAGGTTTCCCACCACCACTACCACCACCACCACCACCATACCACCTGCTGCTGCTGCTGCCCGCCTGC